AAGTGTTTTTTGGGGTCTTATTAAATGGATTCAGGAAATCAGCAGCAATCCAACACTCCCAACACTTTTTCTCCCAGCAGCGCTAACACTTGGGAAAATGTCAAAATCTTTTCTAGTTGATTTGGGCTGGTACATTCTGAACTTCATTTCAGCTGTGTCTAAATGAATCTGAACAGCTCTAATGTGGTTTGAAGGTCCATGCAATAACGCTTTCACATGGCTTGGAGTTCAAATTAATCTGAATGCTCTTTCATGTGGGTTCGTTTGCACTAAAAATGGAAAGAAGGAGTTGTTCCATTACTCTTTTACGCCTCTAAATGGGTTGTCATGTTCATTTTTCATGAAATTACCTCTAAATGGGGAGTTGGAAATTAATTACTTGGAAAAGCATAGCAAAAATGAAGGGAGTGCAGACACTATCCTTGTTCAGCATTGAAAGTAATGATAATTAGACATGAAGCCACATTTAAATGTACTAACTGGTAGGACTAATGCTAGAATGAGGGGGTAGCATTTTTAGGCAAACTAAAACCGCACTTTTCCAAATCTTGAGTTGACTTACTATAGTTTTTCTCATTATAAAGGCACTGCAAAAAGAACAACCATCTCCCTTTCTGTGCCTCAACCATAGCCTGGTTTTGAACTGATAGAGCATTGAATACCAGGATTGTTTTGGTCCAGTAAGTGATTCTCATATGAGAAGGCCAAACCAGAAAACATGTGAAGGGGTCCACATGTTTCTAATGCTCCTACTTCCCCCTTTCAAAAAAAAATTATCTCTTCCTCCCATACACATATTGGACTGAATCTGGGGACAGATTTAATATTGCCATCCAATCCTTGGTGCACCTCATATGGTTCCCCACCTAACTTTTGAGCTTCTTCCTCACCTCTTCTGCCTCCAGCATGGCATAAGGAAGGCCTCTCTTATCTGTGATCAATGAATGGAGATAAGCATGGTCTTGACGGCACTGAAGCTTTAGATAACTCTGTCCTGTAATCATATTTTGAAATACCTTAATGATAATTGTGTTTGGATGCAATCACTTCTCTCTCATGAGGTTGTGCTTTCAAAGTCAAAGTTTATGCAAATTATTAAAAATTATACCTAACCACACCAACTTGAATTTGGCTCTACTTATCAACTCTATCCTTGGTTCTTCTCCTCCATATATCTGGAATGCAGCCCCTAAGACAGGTGAGCCCCCGGTGGCGCAGTAGGTTAAACACTTGTGCCGGCAGGACTGAAGACCGACAGGTCGCAGGTTCGAATCCGGGGAGAGGCGGATGAGTTACCTCTGTCAGCTCCAGCTCCTCATGCGGGGACATGAGAGAAGCCTCCCACAAGGATGATAAAAATATCAAATCATCCAGGCGTCCCCTGGGCAACGTCCTTGCAGACAGCCAATTCTCTCACACCAGGAGTCACTCCTGATACGACCGAAAAAAAGCCCCTAAGACCTTTCCTGAATTGGAATTGGGTCACTAGATTCAAAAAGACTGCCAACTAACCCTATTCTAAACTATTTTTCAAATCTTTTCCCTTCCCTTCCCAAAAGCTTTTATTTTCCCCATTGCATAATACATACAAGTCCTTCTGGGAGTGATTTAGACCATTCATATTGGTCTTTAATGTTATGGTCCTCATTTAATTAGCCTCTTTCACCATCCTCCACTCCTTGCAGCTGCTTTTGGGGAAAGGAAATATGGAAACAACAGGAAATTTGCCAATGGATCCTTAGTTTTCTTTAGCTCTTAGATCAGTAGTTCTCAACCTGTGGGTCCCCAGGTGTTTTGGCCTCCAACTCCCAGAAATTCCAGCCAGTTTACCAGCTGTTAGGATTTCTGGGAGTTGAAGGCCAAAACATCTGGGGACCCACAGGTTGAAAACCACTGCCTTAGATTAAGCCTAAGTGTATTTTAAGCCTTTTCTTCTTCCAAGTAAAGAACAACAGTGATATTTGGACAATTCTTCTTTGTATCTAAGCCACTCTCGGCTTGTTTGGCTCTGGCTAAGTCTAATGGGCCTCCAGCTGCCAATTCCCCGTGCAGTATATACCTTTTAAAAGTAAAAAGGCAACACTTTCCATTATGCAATGTGTGGGCATATTCAATTATGTAATCTTCAGAAACAGTATCAGTTTATATTCTACATGTTGTAACTTTGAGCACTTGTTTCTATGGTAACATCTATAAGCTCAGGACCAAATGCACTTTGCTAAAAGAAGCAACTAGCCAAAAATCTGGGTATAAATAACATAAAATGCATTGTTTAATCAATGCTTAAAAGAAGATGCTCTTAACTTTAAACTTGGATGTTATAGAGAAATATTCACCTCTTTTTTGTCACCTTTGGCATCTGTGTATAGATGGGGAATTTTTAACAAAGAAGGATGCTAACAAAAGAGAGAAACCTCCGACGGACTATTTGCAACCAAAAAATGCATCTTGTCAAGTCAATACAGCCTGTTCTTTGTAATGTAGTCAAGGTGCTTGTATAATGATCTTACAAAGCAAAGGGTCATTTCCCATCTTTTTTGATGAATTCATTTCCAGTTTCAAAACACACACTCATTCAACTGCAAGGCTTGAACTATGCACCAGATGTTAGATGCCTGTTACCAAATGAAAGAGAAAATTCTGACATCAATTGCTTTTCAATCGCTTCATAAAACTATTCAATGCATATTGCATGCATTCCTTGAGATATAAAATCAGAAGATCACAGAGAAATACAATTACTAGCTCCCCTTATTGAAAGGTTTTTAAAGTTAGAGTCAACAGTTTTATCAAATTTCCTTACGATGTGATATTGAATTTGAGTTAAAATATTTTCTTTATTACATTTTTGTGTATTGCTATAAATAAAGAATTATGGCTCATGAAAGGGGGCCATGATTCATTGATAGCAAACATGCTGTATGCACCAAAGATCCCTGGTCCAATACCTGAATTTTCAAATTGGGACCAGAAACATCCTTAGTCTAATTACCTTGATTTTCAAAATGGAAGCAGATTTTCAAGGGGAGACCCAAAAGAGAGCCTGAAACCGTAAGGACTGCTGCTACTGAGAGCAGAACAGGATTGAGTGAACCAACAGTACTGGACTATGTAGCTGAAATAATGGAATAAGACAACTTCGTATATTCCTCATTAACAGAGACACAAATGGACAATAATAAGAGGAGAAAAAAGCGTAATACTTTCCCCCATCAGACAAGTGGCTTTTCATATTAACCCCCAGTGGTGCAGTGGGTGAAACCCTTGTGCTGGCAGGACTGTTGACTGACAGGTCAGCTGTTCCAATTCAGGTGAGATCGGGTTGAGCTCCCGCTGTCAGCTCCAGCTCCCCATGAGGGTACATGAGAGAAGCCTCCTACATGGATGGTAAAACATCAAACATCCGGGCATCCCCTGGGCAACATCCTTGCAGACGGCCAATTCTCTCACACCAGAAGCAACTTGCAGTTTCTCAAGTCGCTCCTGACAGTCACTCACACACATACACACACACACACACACACACACACAAATACTCCAAACTAAAAATGATGTAGAAGTATCATTTGAAGGCCCTGTAGTTTCCCAAAAACTGAGCATTTGGATAGTTTCCAATATGAAACTGTTCATGTGTATTTGAGATAGCATCCTTTTACAATTTTATCATTATTGATGTCCCTGCTCAGATTAGGGTAATCAGTAGCTGTGACATAAATCTACAGTTCTTATGAACACAGATAACAGTGCTTCTTTCCAGAAAGTAAGGGAAGTGTGAAACAATTTCCTTCTGTTAGAAAGGAAGAATACAGTCATAAATATCAATCACATATGTAGATATGCAAAGTATGCATTTGAGCAACTTAGAAGGCACATGAAGTGTTGCTTCTTTTAACATACCCATATGTCAAAATATTCTTCCAAATAAAATGTGCATTTGAATGGGATCTAAGCAGAGGCTATGTGTGTGTATTCGTCACCTCAGAGATTAACAGCTCTATTTTTTTTCATGTCAGAAGCAACTTGAGAAACTGCAAGTTGCTTCTGGTGTGAGAGAATTTGCCATCTGCAAGGATGTTACTCAGGGGACACCCAAATATTTTACCATCCCGTGGAAGCCTGTTCTCACTGGATGCACTGGAAGCTGGGACTGACAGATGGGAGCTCACCCCATTTCATAGATTCAAACCACCAACCTTCAGGCCAGCAGTTCAGCCAACACAAAGGTTTAACCCATTGCACCACCACAGCTCAATGGATGGAAGTAGCCTTGGGCAGAATTTTGCATATCCCATTTGCTCGTATATCAAAATGGTTATAGTTTTAGTCTCCTCTGCCAAAGAGGACTGGTGCCGCACCAAACTACAACCTCCATGGTTCCATAGCACTGAGTCATGGGAGTTAAAGTGGTCTCAAACTGCATTCATACTACAGTACAGATGCACTCTTCAACCCTTTCCTGTGACCATCATCTCCACCATTCATACATTTCTCAGACATGTATATGGGATTTCCTTTCAGCAATTCTAACAAGCATATATATAGAATGTGGATGGATTCTGTTGGGAAGATGCAACATCCCGCCACCTTTCATGTTTGTATTATGCTGTGTGGAATGAATTACTCAAAAAGCTGTTTCATCCACAGATATGGATTCAGAATTAGCATACTAAGTAATACAGGAATCATATTTAGAAATATGTAAGAAACATACCTTCCTGGAGGATATAGACCTCAACCAGTTTTTAATGGGCAATGGTATGACTGTTTGGGCTTATGACTTTCTCCTTGCATAAGAGGAAGCATGAGACTTAGTTTTGACAAGAGTCACAACTTGTAAATGGAAAGAGATAGTTAGAAAATAATGCACATTAGAAAACCCAATTGATCCAAAACAAACTTCTTCAAGCAAAGTTTGGTTAACCAAGAGCTTGCAGCGAGGCAAATTTCTTGTTCAGAAGTATGTTGAGGTAAGCTGCTGCGCCAACTCTTCACGTACTTACCCTCTGACCTTCATTTCCAGGAGGGCCTTGAGGACCTTCTATTCCTGGCATGCCCTGTAAATATAAATGGTTCAGAGCTGTAACATTTCTTGTTAATATCATTGCATAATGGTTGCCCTGTACTCCTTGAAAAGCGAGCAGAACCTCTCTCAGGAATTTTAATCGTAACCTTTCCTTTCCCAATATCTATTTATTGCCTCATATTCACTTGTGATTTCAGTGGGGGATATTTCGGTGCGGGGAAAGGTAAGTAGAAACATAAGGCTATAATTTCAAAGGCTGGTGGGTCAGAAGTGTTAAAGGTCCAATCCCCTGCTGCTCACATGAACAAGGAAATCCGAGTCCTGGATATGCTTTCTGAAAGGATTTTGAATGTCATCAAACTTTATGGTATTATACTTCATAAAATTAATGGTGTTTTAATATGATGACTTGCTTAATTGCATTTTAACCTTTTCATCGTCATTTTTTAAAAAATTTCATGTTAGCATTTTTGAAGGCACGTTTCCAACCTATATCATTTCATTGACTGAGGTGCAAAAGTTAAATCCACAAAAGTAAAATCTAACACAATCAAGTTCAACAGGGACAAATGCAGGACACCCCATTCAGGCAGAAAAAATGAAATGCAAAGATACAGAATGGGAGACGCTTGGCTCGATAGCAGTACATGTGAAAAAGATCTTGGCGTCCTTGTGGAGAACAAGTTAAACTTGAGCCAACAATGTGATGCAGCAGCTTAAAAAGCCAATGGGATTTTGGCCTGCATAAATAGGTGTCTAGTGTCTAGATCCAGGGAAGTCAAGTTCTATTCTGCCTTGGTCAGACTACACCTGGAATACTGTGTCCAGTTCTGGGCACCACAATTTATGGGATATGTTGACAAGCTGGAATGTGTCCAGAGGAAGGGAACTAAAATGATCAAGGGTCTGGAGAACAAGCCCTATAAGGAGCAGCTTAAAGAGCTGGGCCTGTTGAGCCTGCAGAAGAGAAGGCTGAAAGGAGACATGATAATAGTTATGTACAAATATGTGAGGGGAAGTCATAGGGAGGAGGGAGCAGGCTTGCTTTCTGCTGCCCTGGAGACTAGGACGTGGAACAATGGCTTCAAACTACAGGAAAGGAGATTCCACCTGGACATTAGGAAGAACTTCTTGACTGTGAGAGCTGTTCAGCAGTGGATGTCTCTGCCCCGGAGTGTGGTGGAGTCTCCTTCTTTGGGAGCTTTCAAACAGAGGCTGGATGGCCATCTGTCAGGGGTTCTTTTAATGCGATATTCCTGTTTCTTGGCAGGGAGTTGGACTGGATGGCTCATGGGTCTCTTCCAATTTCATGATGTGAAGGGATGGTGATACTATTCACTGTGGCAGTGACACTACAGAAGGGACCAGGATACTATTTTACATCATTTTTCTAATTAAAAACACAAATAATCTGTGTCAATAGTAAGAGATGAAGGCCTTGCTTTGTAAAAAAATAAGCAGAAAACAAAACTAAAACAAAGCATCAATCTTCAAAGGCAAAACATAAATCTTTTGAGCTTTCCTGCATTACTGCAAAGAAGAGATAAAAATAGTCTAATATGACAGCCATATATTTGGTTCTCTGGACAGCTTTACCTTGACAGCAGACTCCCACTGCATGCAAATAAAATTAGATAAGATTAAAAACCCAAAATCCTTTTTCTGCTGACATGGTTAAACTGTTATTCTATGATTATGTCTGTAGTATTGTATATGAATAAATACAACCAAAATTAAATAAAACAATTTATTTACAATGTAGTCTCTCCCCCCCCCCCCCAATGTTGTATAATGTATGTGTAAAGTTAGAACTTTCTTCCATAGACTGGAAATTATCAACAAATTTGTTTTTCCAAGGATACTTTGATGGAAGATGACAACTGAAACGAAAGGCGCTTCAAGGGAAGGTTCTTATGGTGCCTAATTTACAGAATTGCATGGAAGGGTAAGACTAGATGAAAAACATTTTTCACTTGTAACTATCCTGTTTTTCACCACTCTTTCTTTCATCTTCCCACTACAGAAAATCCATTAAGGAAGAAAAGATAAAATAAATGCAAAATTTCTTTTGCCTGGCAGCACTAGGAACCACCCACCTTGAGCATGAAAACTGTGGGCAGTAAAGCCAGTCTAATGACTATGTCTTAATGATTTAAAACAGATGGAAAATACTGAACTGAGTGAGGTTGATACCTTGCCTCCTCCTCAAAGATTTTTTTATCATGTCAGAAGCAATTTGAGATAACGTCAAGTTGCTTCTGGTGTGAGAGAATTGGCCATCTGCAGAGACATTGCCCAGGGGATGCCTGTATGTGTTACCATCCTGTGGAAGGCTTTTCTCATGTCCCCACATGGGAAGCTGGGGCTGATAGATGGGAGCTCACCCCATCTCGCAGAATCAAACTGCTGACCTTCAGATAAGAAGTTCATTTGGCACAAGGGTTTAACCCACTGTGCACCGCGGCTCCTTCCTTTTTTTGGAAAGTTTTTTTAAATATATGTGTATGCACAAACACAGACACAGGAACATACGATCTTGAAATTCAACAATCAAAATACAAGTATTTTTTCCACCCCCTTCCCATTCCCTCCCGAGAACCTCTACCCTTGACTTCTCATTACATAATACAAAGCTATAGGAATACTATTGAATATTTATACCTCAGTATGTTCGAGCATTTAATGATTTCCGCCTGGTTACCGTGGCTCCTTCCTTAAGGATTGAGGACTGTTAACAAACTCTATATTCTTCAATCTTGATTCTTAACCCATGGACTCAGAATGAAGCCTTACAGAATACACTGAAATTCACGTCCAGTTCAGCCTGATTACGATCACAGTTCTAAACTGAGAACTTGCTAAATCTAGATTTTCTTTTTAATAAAAAGAACAATATAGGCATAACATTTGTTCTCTTGACAATATTGATCAGATTGTAGAACAGAAGTCCTAGTTAAATCTGTCTTACACATTTTCAAGTTTTTTTTATGTCAGCCGCCCTGAGTCCCGCTGTGGAGGTCGAGATAGGATGGGATATAAATGTCTGAAATAAATAAATAAATAAATAAGTAAATGTCAGGAGTGACTTGAGAAACTGCAAGTCGCTTCTGGTGTGAGAGAATTGGCAGTCTGCAAGGACATTGCCCAGGGGACGCCTGGATGTTTTAATGTTTTACCATCCTTGTGGGAGGCTTCTTTCATGTCCCTGCATGAGGAGCTGGAGCTGACAGAGGGAGCTCATCCACTCTCTCTCCAGATTCAAACCTCTGACCTGTTGCTCTTCAGTCCTGCCGGCACAAGGGTTTAACCCATAGCGCCACCAGGGGCTCCTATCTTCAAGATACATTGGCTTGGGTTGCCATCCCATGAAAAAAAGTTCCTTATCTTCATTGAAAAGACTGATTAATTAATTCAAATGTTTTATCCTTCACCTTATTATATTATTAGTGCAAACCATTTAATACTTAAAACAATAAAGTTATTTGAATATATAAAAAGCAGAATAAACAATTGAATAATTTCTCCAGTTCCTCTATTTGAAATGGCCTCCCAAACTTCTAGAGCAAAGTTTCATAGAAGCACAGTTCTGGAAAGGTGGAATCAAAAAAAATCTGGCACATAGAGAGACACAAGAGAAAAAAAAAGAGTTTTTTTTAAAAAAATGCTATTATTGTGGGGATTCCCCAGCTGACAAAGCAGTCATGGAGATGCAAGTCCTCTTCTTGAAGCAAAAAGAATATAACCCACAAAGCTGTTCTTGTTTATTATTGTGTTGTCTTAGATTAGTATGATGTATTGTGAATACACCACATCCAAAACAATACCAAAACGTCTGGGGCTTTAAAGTAGTTCCCAAAACAGATTTCCTGCTGTGCACATGTGTCAACTTCTCTGTTGGAGGCTGGCTTTGAGTTGCAGTCAGTGACATATCCCTCAAATATCTCAATCTGGCATTAATTCCCTGTCATACCATTTTTCCAACTCCTTTAGAAATGTCCAACTTTGTCTATCTTCCTCCCACTTTCCCCCTTTGTCAGCATACTTCAGTTGCTGCAAACTGAGTTCAAAGTACAAAAGTATTTAGTGCTCAATTAACTCAGCAGGGCACTGGGGGGGGGGGGGCTTTCTCTAATACTGTAAGGCACTCGGCACTGACCCTTTATCCCAGGGTCAATCCGGAATGTCAAATCCCAGATCAGTCTAAGGATGGTTTTGACCACCAGCTTCTTGACCACTTCATATCTTTTACAGCTGGGAAGTGGGACTGAGCTAGGTGGTAAATACTATGAACCCTTTTATATTCCAGCCCAGCTCATTTGTTTATTGAATTTGTATATTCCAGTGACTACAAAATGTGTCTAGGTCTGCAGAGGAGTTGTAGGAAGGAGTCCTGGCTGTTTCCTTCCTGTTCTTGTCATAACGGAAACCAGTGGGTACAATATGGATAGTATCCATTGCTTGCCACTTGGAGTGATGTCAGCTAGGGTGCCAGAGTGATGCAGGAGAGAGGATGGGGGAGAGGAGGAATCACGCTCTCCTTTCTCCCTTCCTTTCCCCAATCATCCTGCACCCTAGCCAATGTCACTCCAAGTGAAGAGTGATTCTCAGGGAAAATTTGGAGAAACCTGTGACTTTTGTTAACATGGTTCAAGGCTGCATTAACCTAAATCAGCTGAGTGTGTTGTGCAGTCATCCCAAAGATTATTGGTCCCTCCTTCGGGATAATGAGTCAGTGTTGATATTTATTTATTTATTTACCTTACTTATATACCGCTGTTCTCAGCCCGAAGGCGACTCACAGTGGTTCACAACAAATACGAACAGCAAAAATTCAGTGCTACAGTATAGAAACAGTTAACAACCTAACACATTACACAATTAATAAACAGTTACTACAATACCCATTCACTGTCGTCTCGTCATCAAAAACATGTTCCAGATTCGTTATCCATTGTTCCATTCCAGTGTTCATTACCCAATCATTGCACTAATTATTCGAACGCCTGCTCAAACAGCCAGGTCTTCACTTTTTTGCGGAATACCATTAGAGATGGTGCTAGTCTAATGTCCGTAGGAAGGGCGTTCCACAGCCGAGGAGCCACCACCGAGAAGGCCCTATCTCTCGTCCCCGCCAGCCGAGCTTGAGAAGCAGGCGGGATCGAGAGCAGGGTCTCCCTGGAAGATCTCAAAGTCCTGGTGGGTTCATAGGCAGAGATGCGGTCGGATAGGTAGCTTGGGCCCGAAGCGTTTAGGGCTTTAAAGGCCAACGTCAGCACTTTGAATTCAGCCCGGTAGCAGATCGGTAGCCCTCAGTCAGGTATTCTCAGGAGGGGTGGTGGCGGCGGCTCTTGTTCCAGTGGTATAATTGAGTCCAGAGATTCAGGATGCATCTATACTGAAGAAGTAATGCAGTTTGACACCACTTTAACTGCCATGACTCAATACCATGGAATCCTTGGATTTGTAGTTTGGTGACTGAGCAAAACTACAATTCCGTGATTCAACAGCATAGAGCACATGGTGCCAAGCTGCATTCATTCTACAGTGTAGATGCACCCTGAGAGACAGCGACCCTTCCCTCCTCTTCATATCTTTTACAGCTGGGAAGTGGGGCTGAGCGAGGTGGTAAATGATTCCAACCCTTTGATATTCCAGCCTAGCTCATTTGTTTATTGAATTTGTATATTCCAATGACTACAAAATGTGTCTAGGTCTGAGATACCAAACTTCCTCATTCTGTTTCCTTTGCACTGAGCATGTTATCTGACACTTCATTTGACCAGAGCTAGCATTCCAAGTATCTGTTTAGTAAGCACATCTTAGGTGCTTGTGACAGACTTAACCCTTGGCTTCTGTGTAAACATTTGGTGCCAGCTGGATGCGTATTTTATAACTCATAACTCCCCAAAGGGATCGGTCCACAGGAACGTAGAGAGACGAACACTCGTTTTCCTCCTTGGGAACTAGAAGCTATGGATCAAGTGTCAAGAGGAATAGTTTTCATATACTTTACAAGAGAGATCACTGTACCACCTTCCTTCACCTGTCACTCTTGTGACATGACATGCAAAGGCTTAAGCCCAGGATGCCAGAAAGCAGAGAGGAGCTTAGCCAACTGTGTCATTTCAGAGAAAAGTCCCCGACTTCTTTCGCCTTAATTCAACACCTTGACAAAACTGTGAGGATAATGCTGTCATCCCTGCCGCTCAGTCACTGGATGGCCTTCGTGATACTCATTAAGAATATCATGGCTTTCAAAACAATGTATGTCCTGTCTTTAGAATATTATTAAACACTGTTAACAGCAAGGAAATAATCTGAGGGGATTAAAATTCATCTTTAAATTTAACACTTTTGATAGGAAAACATATTACACAAATGACGTAACATGACACTTTCATGTCAACTTGAAATAGCTCTTCTTGCAAGTAAATTTCAATAAAACATATCCCCAGCCATCCTCTGTATGCAAAAAGAAAGTGGATGAGATTTCTATTATTCTTAAATGCAAAGGTGGTCTTATCCTGAATTTTTTACTAGTATTTTTTTTTTGCTTGGTTTTCTTGCTATTGCTTTCCCTCTGCACTGAGATTTTTTGCATGCTTTCAATGACCTTATTTCACACAATGTGAAGACAGTAAACATTTAAAAGACAGTTGGGTGAGTAAATGCAGTGTCCAACCAATGTCAGTGATATCAAGTTTCCCCTTCACTATGTCAAAGTTAATCATGTCAAAAGCTAGAGATGGGTTTTGTTGCAAAGAAAGTCTGTGCAAGCTCCCAAGTGATTATTTAGGCCATGTTGGCCATATCATGAGAAGACATGACTCATTAGAAAAGTCTATAATGGTTTATAAGTTAGAAGGTAGTATGAAAAGATGAAGACCGCATTAAAGATGGATAGACTCAATCAGGAAAGCCAAGATCTTAAGTCTGCAAAACCTGTAGATGATAGGGTGATTTTCATGCAAAGGTTCACCTTAAGTCAGTGTGAAAGTACTTCTAGCACCCACTTTTTGCTTGATAGTCAAGCAGTGCTTCTTGTAAGTCAGAGTATGGTAACACCCAGGTATTTTGGTGTGCTGCAGTTCCTTCCCAGGTAATCCGCAGAGCTCAAGGATCACAACCAGACACAGCAAAGACATCTGCCCTTGCGCTTTTCTACTCTGCTGCTAAATATGATGGAACACATCTCACCACGCTAAAACAGTGGGTGTGGCTCTTAATGAGCCATGCTGCATCACTGGATGTCTACACCCCACACCAATGAAAGAATTATACTGTTTAGCTGGTATTGCACCACCTGACATCTGTCGGGACATAGCAGCCTGTAATTAAAGGACCAAGGCAGTGTCATCTCTGGTCCATCCCTGTTCAGATATCAGCCAGCACAATGCCTTAAATCAAGAAATGGCTTTCTAAGATCTACAGCCAGTTTACCAGGATTTCTGGGAGTTGAAGGCCAAAACATCTGGGGACTCACAGGTAGAGAACCACTGATCTACACAGATACTCACAGGAACACCTCAGCAAGCAAGAGTCCAAAAGTGGCAGGCTAAAACCCAGAATCTCAATCCATGACTGATACCGAATGAGAAACTCCCTCCTGGGCACACAGAAGACTGGGTGACTTGGAAGGCACTGAACAGACTGTGCTCTGGCACCATGAGATGCAGAGCCAAACTTAAGAAATGGAGCTACAAAGTGGAGTACACGACATGCGAGTGTGGAGAAGAGCAAACCACAGACCACCTACTACAATGCAACCTGAGCCCTGCCACATGCACAATGGAGGACCTTCTTATAGCAACACCAGAGACACTCCAAGTGGCCAGCTACTGGTCAAAGGACATTTAGTATAATGTCAAGTTTTAAATTTTGTTTGTGTTTTTAAATACATTACAACTGTACCCTCAGTTTGCTTCTGACACAATAAATAAATAGTGTGGAATTGAAGGCTGCTAAGAACAACATACCATTAAAGAATTAAATAAACCGGAAAAGCAACCAAACCTCTCATGTAGGTATTCCTTGCTTATTCCTGAGTAGTGTACTTACACTAAGTGCAGCTGGTCCTGGTAGTCCCATGTCACCCTATAAAATAAGAGGAACATTTTTAAAAATCACAAATTTTATCATGTCAAACAAAAAAAAAGTTTTTTTTAAAAAATGCCCAGTCCTTTTTGAAGCTCAGGGCTTCATAAACAAATAGACCTAAAGACATGGGTTCGGTCCAAAATCTTGTGAAATAGCTTTTTATGAGTTAAAGTGCTATTAGGGAGCAAAGCATCCAGCTATCTGTACAGACATTATCACAGAGACCAAAATGGGATATTTTACCATGAGGGTAAAACATTGAGCAATGTGAGAGGCAGAGGGATGTCCCATTACATTAATTACAAGATTAATTTAGCTGTGTGTCCCATTTCCAAATATAAACTACTGGAGGTGAACCGGACTAGTAATGTCACTAGATTAGAGGAGGCACAGGTGTATTTATCATGTACCACTCAAAACTACAATGAATTTGCTCACTTGTCAAGAAGGGTGTAGGAATAATTGGAAAATATGAAGTTGGGATTTTGTATATATGTTGTTTTGTTTTTATTTAAGAGTTTATTTGCATTTTCAAAAATCCAAAAATCACCAACAGGGTAATACCCAGGACAAGTGTTACTTAGATCATGCAGAACAATGGGTGATACAGGAATAACTACATCAAGGGCTTGAACAAGGCAGTAATGTTAATGGGTTGTTGTGAGTTTTCCGGGATATATGAATCAGGATACTCGAGTATTTTTTATTGTTTTACTGTTTAATTTATCTAATAATACGTGATATTTTGGGAAACTTATAAGATTTACTTATTTGACTGTACACATCCCCATATAACTACCTTTTCTCCCTTTGGACCAGGCATTCCGTGATCACCCAGATCTCCTTTCAAACCCTACCAAACGAGAGATTAAGACAATATAACAGTGATAAGAAACATACATACATGTATAAACCATCAAAAATAAAGTCTCTAAGCCATCTTTTAAGTTGCAACGAGAGCAATGAAATAGCAAAAAAGTGCTGTAACAGGTTGTATAGATTACCCAATATAAATTAATCACATGTGAGAATTCTGCTACACTGAAAGATTAACTATGAGTTATATAACTTTTCACTTATGTAATTTATTCTTTGTTTCAAGGAGACATCTTATGGAAATAAATGGAAGTAAGCCCTGTGGTCCCTTCCAGACTTCAGTGAACTTTCATAATGTTAAAACAGTTTGATATTACTGTAAGTGATATGGTTCCATCATCTTATGCAATCCTGGAATCTGTAATTTTATCGGACATTAAGAATTCTTAGATAGAGAGGTCTAGTTCCTCACCAAACTAAAATACCTTCATCCCAGTTGAAGTAGTATCAAAGTGCTATAATTATGTGATATGAAAGAGACCCTTCAAGTAGTTTCAATAGGACAAATTACCCTACTACAAATCAATAGATCAAGTGAGTTAGACTAACGTGGTCTCTTTTCATCTTGTTGAGAGTGCATCTACATTGTCAAATTAATACAGAAGCACTCCAAGTGGCCAGATACTGGTCAAAGGACATTTAATCAACTACCAAACTCACAAATCTTGTATTTTGTCTGTTTGTTTGCTTTGTTCTGTTAGAAATGTAATATAATCGACTGGTTGCCCTGACACGATAAAAATAAATAATTAAATAAATAAATAAGTGCAATGAGGCAAAATGGTGTCCTGAGATGGTTTTTAAGTAACTTTTCATGTGAATATAAGTGATTTTAATGTTTGTATAAATTTATGGTTTTATGTCCCGGCATTGAATGTTTGCCGTATATATGTTGTGCTCCACCCTGAGTCCCCTGCGGGATGAGAAGGATGGAATATAAATGTTTTAAATAAATAAATAAAATAATAATAATACAATTTTACACCACTTTAACTGCCATTACTTTAACTGTGATTTTAATGTTTTTATTGGGTGTTTCAATTCTTATATTTCATGTTTTAAATGTCTTTTTTCTTATCATATATTGAATTGTCCTATTCATTTTATGCTTAGTTATATGGTGTTGATTTGTGATTTGGTTTACGTATGTAAGGCATTGACTATTGCCTCTTTGAGTACCCCTAGGGGTGAGAAAAGTGGTATATAAATACAGTATATAAATAAATAAATAAATAAATAAATAAATAAATCAATCAGTGCTGTGGAATCATGGGATTTGAACTTTTAAAAGGTCTTTAGCCTCCACTGCCAAGAGTGTGCTGTTGCCTCATCAAACTACAACTTTCATGATTCCATAGCATTGAGCCATGGCAATTAAAATGTTGTCAAACTGCATTCATTATAGATTGTAGAGCCAGCCTTAGTGTCGTTTGAGAGAGAAAAAGTTTGATATAGATGATGATAATGATGATGATAATAATAATCACACATTACTTCTGTATAAAGCTCTCATTGTACACAACACATATTCAGTTATTTAGGGGAGATGGGGTTTCATGAATTTGAGATTCAACAAGATAGCATATTTTTTTATGAAATCCATCTCACTCCATTCCATCACAAAATCTTGCATCTTATGCTCTGGCTCCATCTTGCAAATGTAAAGATTATACACACCAATACTTGTCACCGGGATTTTTTTAACCAAAATGATATTTTTATTTGTGGCATCAAATAGAAAAATTACTATTTCTTGCTAAAGTATTTCAGAACAACAAAAATCTATATAATAAATAAATGGATATAGTTAACGATCATTACCACCATCATCTAAAAATATATGTCTTCCTATATGAAAAAGAGAATTGACCATAAATCCCTTCCCCACTTTCAAGGTTTCCTAATATTATTGCCTAGTTTTTAGTAATAGGAGAGTGAAAATTGGCATTAGAAGTACGAGCAACATCTGTGCTACGATGGGCACAGAAACATCAAATCAGCAAGTGTTCAAAATACTTATATTTGTGTAATTTAACTTCCTGCAAAAACAACCCCATTAATTTGCCATCTGGAAAAAAGCATCATTGAGAGTGATATGAGCTTCTAAATATGCACTTTGGATTAAATGGTAGCAGTTGTCAATGCTTCTGATTCAGCTTGATGTAGCCTTTATTATGTTTGCCAGTTAAGAGTTAAATCTGAAGTAACCTTTGCTCTGTCAAAATAAGACACAACAAGTGAAGGAGAACTAAACTGAAGGAAAGGGTTTTCTATAGCTTGTTAATGTCAATGGATGAAACAGAATAAATGCAAATTATAATGTTGTAATTTTTGAATGGATGTTTCTGTTAGCTAAATTGCTATGGACAGCAATGTACTGGTTAAAAGATAAATTTAGAAAATATGTGGAACCATTTATTTTACCATAGAAATCAATCCTATGATTTAATTTTCTATTCTTTAAGAAAAAAGCATGCCAGCCTTTTAATGTATTATATATATAAAACCACAAAACAAATCCAAACCATAAAGTACATACATTTCAAAGGATTTACAGCATGTTGTTGCTTAGGACTTTCTTGCTTTCTTGCTAAGGGCTCATTTATGTCAAGCAGTTTAGCCCAAAGTAAAAGCAGCATGAAGGAAGAGGGATCTGAATTGATAAACCACAAGGTAGAGCTGATGGCAGCAATGTCCCATTTGGACAGCAAATGAGGCTGATTCAGACCCAGACCCATTGTCCAGGTTGGTACAAAGCCATAGGATATTCCAGCAAACTAAAACAGGGCAAAGTTGGTTTGAAGAACACTAAACAAACAAACAAACTACAACAGTCATTGGAAAGTGCTGTGGATCATGGGAACAGCCAGTATATGGGTGAGTCTAAAGCTTTGTGCCAGTGTAGATATGCTCAAAGAATACTTAATTTGCTTAATGAGTGAGGCCCCTTCAGAGGCCCTTAATCCTACCTGTGGTTATTTGTTACTCTTTGATAATTTGTAATACTTCTTCCCCTGTTTGAATATGGATTTTAGCTATCCTTTGACCTTATCACATTGGAACATACTCTGTTTCTGAGACTCTTTGAACATGATTCCGAATACACCTTGTCACATGACATGTGCCTGATTTAATCAGTAATCAGTTGGAATTCATCTACAAAACGTTGCAGAAATTGAGTAATTGCACATGGAATTTGCTAAATTATAAATCTCACAAGAAAAGTAGATCAAGACTTCTAGATTACATCACTACATAATATTAAGGGGGGGGGGGGTAAAAAAGCTATGTAGAGAGGCATTCAAACAGATTGGGAAGAGCCAGTATTCCGTGGTGTGATGAATCATAGCACAGCATTTTCAAGTTGTAAGAATAGTAATAATCTGGTGTGATGGGGTCAGTATGCATCCCCTCTAAATACAGGACACATTCAGCCATAAAAAATACAGGATGCATACTGATATAAACAGATTATATTCTAATGTGATGAGGTCCCTTGTTTCATTACTAGATTAGAGACCTTATCACATATGGCTTTAGCTTGGTCCTATGACGCTGCCAGGACAGAGCCAAGATGGAGATTGTCAGAGCCCATCACAGTATTTCCAGCAGGGCTCAGTCCTGTCTCCGTCCTGAAAGTGTCATAGGATGGAGCCCTGAGAACATTGTTGGCTATTAACTATGCCAGGGACAGTGTAGGGGGAAGCCAGTCAACAACGGTTTCCCCTGTGTAATGAGAAAAGGGGTGATGCGGGACACTTAACCATGGTTCCCCTTGCTGCCCAAAGGATTTGCCCTGCCGCCTGATGGATTTCCCTGCTGCCCTCCAGCTTAAGGGCCTCCATGTGATATAGTCTGAGAACAGGTTTTTGCCAGAAGCACTTCTGCAGGTTTGAAGTACTGGGGACAAAAATTTAATAGACAAGCTTTTGCTCTGTGGCTGGAACTTGATGCCAGGAGTGGTGGCCACCACCAGCAGCTGATCACTTTAAAGCAGAAGAACCTGTGTAAGGTTTGATGGGCTTTGGTGGCATACTGTTCTGGATATCTCAGTGCTGATTCAAAATGGACAGGTTCCCTTCTCCCATCATCAGAGTGGTAGGCTTCTACAAAATAAGGACTGCAGCTGTGTAGAAGCTTTAGACATTTAAAATGTCGGTTTAAGTTAAACTACTAGCTACACACTGTTGCACCTGCTGAAGCCATTCATTAAGGCAACAACTACTGCCAGAGAATCAGCAACATTTTGGCTACTGACTAAGCATTAGAGTCTTCGCTATTACATCCCACCACTGTACAAGGACATGAAGAAAATGCTAAATGTTGCATTTTACATTTTGGTTCAAAGTATGAAAGATGTGTTCAGTGCAGCAGTTGGGAATACAGTACAGGTGTGGAAATAAAGTTTTCCTCATTAAAATACAGCAAAACAGAGAATTAATATCATTGCTTCTCTGCACCTTACAGTCATATATTGAAGTATGTGGGAAACTAGATTTTAGCTATGATATTATTCTCAAGTTACCAGGATCTTCCTTCTATATCTCTGGGGAAATTTGATCCAAATAATTGGAATCCAGATGAAATTTGACTCAAATTGATGTTTTTGGAGTTTTATTTGTATTATTTACTGTATTTCTACTCCATCCTATCTTACCTGAAAGAGACACAGAGCGGCTTCCAAAGTTTTCTTCTTTTTGTCACAACCTCCCATTATCCGTGTCCTCACTTTTTAAATCCCAATTGCTTCCCTCTCCTCAAACTGAGACCTCCCTATACTTTCTCCCTGTCTCCATTGCTGGTAATGGCATTTCCTAATTATGAGGAAAGTTTCTCAAGAGTAAGAAACGGGAAACAATGAGCAAAATCAAATGGATTGAGGAAGAAGTGCATGATATGAGGTGCTCATGAGTACTGTTCCCACACTGCATACAACATTTCACAGCACATAACTTGTATTTTGAAGCATCTTTTTTCCCTTGCATTCAACTTCCATCTATTTATCTACTTGGTTTTGCTTCAGCATCAGTCAATTGTTATTCTCATTGAGTCACAATGATCCACAATACAAAGTGATATTATATACCGGAAAACATAAATAGCTCCTGAGAATGTTTTGACACATTCCTCAAAATAACTTCCTGTTTATATCTTATATGAAAATAGCATTTCAGGAACACACTTCAAAATAGATCTTTTTAAAGAAGCCAGGAAAGGTAATATCAATTAGACATCACCTAAACCAAAAACACAAGTAGCAATGGAAATATTCATAATATATTGCAGCTGTTGATGGGTTTTCAGGAGTCACCGAGGGCTATGATGGCAAAATGGCTGAAAATAGTATTCCCCCTTTCAATTGGAAGTAGCCGCTAGTGAATCAAAAACATTTCTGCACACAGAAATTAAATAGAAGCCAGGACTTATTACTGTAGTAAGTAATGTCAATCCTATTTACTATATTGCTTTTAAAATGAAACTGAGTTATACCTTCATTACCCAAATAGGAATGTGCTACACATAGCAACTATTATTCCCATTTTCTTACAATGAGTAATTACAATATAAACAACAGAGGACAGTAATTGATTAACTCACGTCTGTTCCAGGTGTTCCATCTGACCCTTGCTCTCCTTTATCTCCCTTTTCACCCTAGGAAAAAAAGAAGAAATCCTTTTAACTTTCTGGGATAAAAGTAATTTATCTAGATGTAGAACAATAAAGACAAATCTCACAAACAACAAACTCTTTTAGAATAACCAGATATGTCCTGGACCACTCACTATACATGTGTGTATATACACACACCCTGAATTTTTAAGGCTTTTATTTTTATTACTGCAATAGTTTCTGCATGCCCTACATTGGCTCAATTGCTATGTCATCTAAAGGATCCTGACTTCTAACCTAAGAGCAGATGGGTAGAAGACATGGGCTTTAATTGCATTATCAGTGTTCCACCTACTGTTCAGCTTCCGTATATAATTCAGGAAATCCTATTCAAAGCCAACAAGGTACTAAGCAACCCAAAAGAGGAGAAGGTTTTTCATTTATTTTTAAATCTACAAATTTCATGTAAAAATAAAGATGGATGAAGAAATGCAATTTAGTAATGGGGAAAACACTGCGACAAAAGGGACAGCAAATCTTTGCAGCTCATTCAAATTGACAGCCAATTGTCCAGAGAGACATTCCTATGAAGTTTCAATCTCTATGCCACAGTGTCTGAATTATAAAAAAAGTTGTGAAATCCTAAGTCTATTGAATCAGGCATACATTAAAGTGCTGCAGTGCAAGTCTTTTAGCTCACCAAAAGGCTTCATTACCACGAAGCATTAATTTCCAAGGATTAGGTAAATAATATGAAGACATGTATTCATATGCATGTTTCAAAGGTTCTTCTCGTGTTACATTGATACAGACAATCACCCTCACTCTAGACCAGCGTTTCTCAACCTGGGGGTCGCGACCCCTAGAGGGGTCGCGGGGCAATTTTGGAGGGGTCGCCCTGTGGCCTCCTTAGGCCCCGCCCCCTCCACCTCCCTGGAATGGCTGCCGGGGCCCCTCTGCCAGTTTGGATCTGAACCAAACTACCAAACTGAGCACAAAAAGCAGCACGGAGGGGGGGGGGGAGGGAGTGAAGAGGTCTACTGCTGCGCTCCCCCTGCCTTCCCTGCAGGCAGAGCACCAGAAAGGGGGGAGTGAAGGGCCCGCTGCTCCTCCCCTCAGGCCGCGGGGACTGGAGCCGCGTGCAGCAATGGAGGGTCTCTCCAGGAGGAGGAGGAGGAGGCGGGAAAAAATGAAAGTGTTGACGCACCGTGCCCCTTTTCTTTCTAGTCCTTTTTACTGCACCTTTTTCCCTGAAACCCTCTGAGGCAGAGGCCTGGCTGGATTGCTGTGAGTTTTTCAGCTGTATGGGCAGGTTTCAGTAGCATTCTCTCCTGGGGATTTTTTGTGTAAGAAGGAAAGAGATGTAGTCAGTGGCCACTCGGTTGAGTCTGTCTGTTTCTCAGATGGGTCTGTTTTGGGGAGTTTGGGGGGGGGAGTGCAGGGTTTGGGCTAAGTTTTCTTTGGAACATTGTCCTCACTTCCTTACCAATATTACCCCCTCCCCGAAGACAAATGCTCTTTTTTGTTTTTCCTAAGGGCGCAGGATTTACTTCCTCCCTCCCTCCCTGCCTGCATTCCTTATTTCCCTTCCCTCATTCAATTCCTTCCCTTTCTTCTTCCCCTCCCCTTTCTCCTTCCTTCCTTTTTCTTCCCTGCTTCCTTTCTTCCATCTTTCCTCCGTTCCCTCTCCTCCCCTCCCCAATCCAAACTGCCTAAACACATCCCATTTCCCAGGTTTACAGCCCCGGTGTTTGCAGCCAGCCATCCGTCCGTGCATTGGGGGAAGGGAGAAAAGGAAGGGAAGAAGGGACGCTGCTGCTGGCTCTGGATGACCCTCAGTGATGCTGGGGAGGTGGAGACAGTGACATTAGGGGAGTCGAGCAGCACCCGGCATGCACGGAGGATGCGCTGGCTGCAGGGGACCCCAGCTGCTTCGCTGCCTCCTCTTCCTCCTCCTCCTCCGTCTTGTGTTTTTGTTTTTGGGAGGAAGAAATGAGGGAGGGAGGGAGGGAAGAGGAGGGGGTGCCTCTCCGGGTGACCTTAGCTCAGGCATGGGCAAACTTGGGCCCTCCAGTTATTTTGAACTTCAACTCCCACAATTCCTAACAGCTGGTAGGCAGTTAGGAATTGTGGCAATTGAAGTCCAAAATACCCGGAGGGCCCAAGTTTGCCCATGCCTGCCTTTGCCACAAATATGCAGTGACAACCTCTTTGATTGTAGGTGAACTATAAATCTAACCAACTCCAACACCCAAATGTCACAGTCTATTTTCCCCAAACTCCACCAGTGTTCAAATTTGGACATATTGCGTATTTGTGCCAAGGTTGGTCCAGATCCATAGCTGTTTGGGTTCACAGTACTCTCCAGATGTAGGCAAACTACATCTCCCCTAAATCACTGTCAATTCTTCCCACACCACTCCAGTATATTCTGGTCATGGCAGTTCTGTGTGCTAAATTTGGTCCAGTTCTGTAATTCCTGGGGGGTCTCAGTAGTCTGTGGAAGTCAGAATCTGTTGAAGGTACTGCAAATCCCATCATTCATTGCCCATACTCCCCCAAACATATTGTTTTTGTGATTCATTGCTATGCTTTAATTATATTCAATTTGTAACAATGAAAATACATCCTGCATATCAGATATTTATTTTACTGGGTTGCTGTGAGTTTTCTGGGCTGTATGGCCATGTTCCAGAAACATTCTCTCCTGATGCCTGCCACATCTATGGCAGGCATCCTCAGAGGTTGTTGGGATATGTTGGAAACTAGGCAAGGGAGGTTTATATATCTGTGGAATGTCCAGGATGGAAGAAAGAATGATTTTCTGTTGGAGGTAACTGTGAATGTTGGAACTAATCACCTTGATTAGCATTGCAAAGCTTTGCAGCTTCAAGGTGTGGCAGATTCCTGCCTGGGGTAATTCTTTGTTGGGAGATGCTAGCTGGCCCTGATTGTTTCATGCCTGGAATTCCCCAGTTTTCAGAGTGTTGTTCTTTATTTACCCTCCTGATTTTAGAGTTTTTAATACTGGTAGCCAGATTTTGTTCCTTTTCATGGTTTCCTCCTTTCTGTTGAAATTGTCCATGTACTTCATGTGGTTTTCAGTGGCATTTCTTTGTAGTCTGACATGGTGTTTGTTAGAGTAGCCGAACATTTCTGTGTTCTCAAATAATCTGCTGTGTCCAGGTTGCCTCATCAGGTGCTCTGCTGTGACTGACTTCTCTGGTTGAAGTAGTCTACAGTGCCTTTCATGTACCTTGACTTGTGTTTGGACAATGCTGCGTTTGGTGGTCCCTATGTAGACTTGTCCACAGCTGTAGGGTATCCGGTAAACTCCTGCAGAAGTGAGAGGATCTGCAGGACTTCTGCAGGGACCGCCAAACGCAGCATTTCCCAAAACACGAATTAAGGAACACTGCAGACTGATTCAACCAGAGAAGTCAACCATAGCAGGGCACTTGATGAATTATTGAATTTAATATTAAATAATTAAATTATAAGTAGTAAAATAAGTAGGAATGAAAATAATTTTATGGTTAGGGGTCACCACAACATAAGGAACTGTATTTAGGGGTCACGGCATTAGAAAGGTTGAGAACCACTGCTCTAGACTGAGATTAGGTAAAAAAGGTAAAGATTGTCCCCTGACATTAAGTCCAGTCGTGTCTAACTCGGGTGTGGTGCTCATCTCCATTTCTAAGCCAAAGAGCCGGCGTTGTCCGTAGACACCTCCAAAGCCATGTGGCCAGCATGACTGCATGGAATGCTGTTACTTTCCCGCCGGAGCGGTACCTATTGATCTACTCAGATCTCCATGTTTTCGAACTGTTCGGTTGGCAGAAGCTGGGGTTGACAGTGGAAGCTCACACTGCTCCCCGGAATCAAACCTGCGACCTTTTGGTCACCAAGCTCAGCAGCTCAGTGCTTTAACCCATTGCACCACTGGGGGCGCACAGATTGAGATTGCAAGTAGACAAGTAACCCGTTTTTAATAGAAAACAATGCACAGTTTGACTTATAATAGAAAACGTATCCATCACTATTGCCTCAATAGCTGCAGCACAACATAAGGCAAGAGCAGAAAGCACAGCAGGGAGCATTACTAAAATCATATGATATCCCACTATTTAGTGTTATATTGTCTCCCGTAATTATGAGAAGTTATTGTTACATGGCAAAATGCAGGAAAATATGAGTTAAGTTTCAAATGTGATATAGTGTAGTTAAGACTATTATTATTGGTAAAAGCCCTTACTTACACATAACTTTTTAAATAATTGCTACTTCCCAACTCTGTAGCTAATTAGAAGATACAACAGCTAGAATTCTATCCAGAGTGTGAGACTGCCATCATTTTGCATTATACACTGAATTCTTAAACCCAGGCAGCAGTGTACATTTTCCTAGATGGCAAGACAGCTTTCCTTTTACATGCTATTGTCATTGTGGGCTTTCAATTTGTTTCAGACTTATGGTGACACCAATGCAACTGTAGAAATCCACTAAATACCCGTTCTTCCTTTAAAAGTGTGTTCACCTGTCCCTCCTCATTTACGGTTTTGACTTTTGCAGATTCATAGATTTGATTTGGATTTTAAATGTTTTCTCCAGGAATCCCTAGGTCTTCCAGTGTTGCTCTATAGTCTACTTCCTCCAATTGGAACCTAGAGATTTCTAGAGAGGACACCTCCAGTTTTGAGCAGAGGCTGACCATTGTGTTGTGGTGGAAGACCTAGAAAGTCCTAGAGAGGTATTATCTCAGGTAAAAAAATGACAACTTCCTTATTTGTGGGTTTGCACTTTCATGGGTGCCCCTCATCCCTAATATTAATGAATGGGGAGGGCTGACTGTTTTGCTAATTACCTGGAGCATTCAAACTGATATTGTGGATTTAAAGCACCATTTGGAACCATCTGACAAGCATCATTTAGCAACCAAAATTAAATAACATCAATGTGCTTGGAGAAGGATTATAAAGATCAGAACATGAAATGGAGATGGAAAGAAAAGACAGGGAACAAAGAAGAAGGGAAGGGTTAGT